CCTATATCTGTCACCACTTTTCCCCTTGGGATATTTGCTGATTTGCTTCACAGGGCATAAATGCCACGCAGAAACTGGCAACCTAGAAATTGTGGTAGTCCTCAACTGACTGAAGAGACAAAAACTGTAATTCAAAGCTACCAAGGCAGCCAGACAATGATCTGGAAGAGAATACTTAATAGACAAACAAGACCAACATTTTGTGCATAATTTCTCCTTGAAGTATTTGTCAACTCCTGGGCTTCCCTGGTGGCGCAGTGGTTAAGAATCTGCCTGCCAATACAGGGGACACAGGTTCGACCCCTGGTCTGGGAAGATCCCACATGCCGTGGAGCAACTAAGCCCGTGTGCCACAACTACCGAGCCCCTGTGCTGCAACTACTGAAGCCCATGCACCTAGAGCCTGTGCTCCGCAACAAGAGAAGCCACCACAATGAGAAGCCCACGCACCGCGATGATGAGTAGGCCCCGCTGGCCGCAACCAGAGAAAAGCCTGCGCACAGCAACAAAGACCCAACAAAGGCCCAACACAGACAAAAATAAAATTAAAAAAAAGTATTTGTCAATTCCTAAGCTATGCACAAGCAAGAGAAAACTATGAGACCAAAACACCAGGCAGAAAGGCGCTGCTAAGAGACTAAAGAATTAAACAGAAATTTCTGTCTTAAAGCTAGGGAGAAAAATTCCCAAATATTTGAAAATTAAGCTATATACTTAATAGCCCATGGGTCAAGAAAAAAATTACCATGAAAATTAGAAAATATTTTTTATTGAATGACAATGAAAATACAACATATCAAAACTTGTGGGGATGGGCTTAACCTGGTGGCACAGTGGTTAAGAATCTGCCTGCCGATGCAGGGGACACGGGTTCGTGCCCCGGTCCGGAAAGATCCCACATGCCGCAGAGCAGCTGGGCCCGTGAGCCGTGGCCGCTGAGCCTGCACATCTGGAGCCTGTGCTCCACAACGGGAGACGCCACAGAAGTGAGAGGCCCGCGTACAGGAAAAAAAAAAAAAAAAAAAAAAAAATCTTGGGAGAAAAGGATGCTTAGAGGGAAAACTATAGACTTACTTAAGTATACACACAAAAAAATAAAGTTGAAAGTCGCTGTTTTGAGTATTTATCTAAAAAAGTCATAATGACTAAGTAAATAACCCCCAGCAAATTAAAATTAAAGGAAGGAAATAATAAAGAAAAAAGCAGAAATCAATGAAATGGAAAACACATACACAATAGAGAAAATTAATAAAGCCAGAAGTTAGTTCTTGGAAAAAAATTAATAAAATGCATAAACTCCTAGGCAAGGCCGATTAAAGGCCCAAGATACCAATATCAGAAATGAAACTGCGGACAAAATTTAGATTTCACAAACACACAGATGATAAAAGGATGTTATGCAATTCATGTTAACAAATTAAAGGTCTAGATGCAACTGTTACAAAAAGAAAGAAAATGTGAAAAGTCCTACTCTACTCAAGAAATTGAATCTCTAATTAAAAATCTTCCACAAAGAAAACACTAGATCCAGACAGCTTCACTGGTGAATTCCCCCCTAAGCATTTAAGGAAAAATAGCACTAATTTTACATAAACTCTTGAATACAGAAAAAAGAAATATTCCTAACTTTTGTATGAGACCAGCATAACCTTGATAATCAAAATCTGACAATTTCAAAAAAAAAAAAAAAATCTGACAATTTCATTACAAGAAAGGAAAAATTATAGCCTAATTTCTCTCATGAAGTAGTCCTAAAAATATTTTTTAAATCTGGCAAATTGGATCTAGTAATATATAAAAAGAATAATGCATGACAACCAAGTCTGGTTTATGTAAGGAAACCAAAGTTTTAACTTGGAAAATCAATCAATGCTATATTAAGCTATACTAAGAGAACAAAGGGGAAAACTGTATCATTATCTCAAAAGAAGAGAAACATTTGGTAAAATTCATGATAAAACTCTTACAAGACTAGTAATAGAAGGAAACTGCCTTAATCCAATAAAGAGTATCTACAAAAAATTTACAGCAAGCATACTCTATGGGGAAATACTGAAAGCTTTCTGCCTAAGACTAGAATAATGCAAGGATGTTCACTATCCATACTTCTTAATATGCTCAAGGTCCTAGGTCATACAATAAGGCAAGAAAAAGAAATGTCTAAGGATTAGAAAGGAAGAAATAGAATTATTATTGTTTGCAGATCACATGACTGTACATGTAGACAATGCACAATGATCTACAAATAATTATCAGAATTTATAAATTTAGCAAGATCACTAGATACAAGGTCAATACAGGAAAAATCAACTGTATTTCTATATACTGGCAATCAATCAGTTAGGACATGGAAATTAAAAAACTAATCATTGTAGTAATATTTAAGAAGTAAAATATATAAGGAATAAACCTACCAAAAAATATGCAAGATCTCTACCAGAAAACTCAAAGTATTACTAAGAGAAATTTTAAAAAGACTTAAATCAATGTTCATTGATTGGAAGACTCAATATTATAAAAATGTCAATTATCTCCACACCAATCTATGGTGTCAATGCAATTCCAATCAGAATCCCATGACTTTTTTTGGTGGAAACTGACAAGCTGATTAAAACATTTAGGTATATGAAACTACCAACACAAAAGACCAAGAATAGCCAAGGTAATCCAGAAGAACAAAGCTAGAGGATTTTCACCACCAGATTTCAAGATTCAGTTTAAAACTACAGAAATGAAAACTCCACAGAATTGGTTCAAGGATGCACAAATATAACACTAGAGCAGACTAAACACTCCAGAAATAGATTCATTCATATACAGTCACCTGATTTACAACGAAGTTAGCACTGCTGTGTATGGGGGCAAGGATAGTTTTTAATACATAGTCATGTGGGGAAAAAAAATGAACCTTGACCTCTACCTCACACCATACACATGTGTGAAAAAAACACCACAAAAAATAAAAACCCAACTGGATTACAGACCAAAAAGTTAAATGTAAAACAATAAAGTTCCTAGAAGAAAACCTAAGAGAATATTTTCATGACCCTGAGGCAGGCAAAATTTCTTAAGACATAAAAAGCCTTCACCTTAAAGGAAAAGACTGATAAGTTAATTCATTAAAATTAAGACCTTCTATTTATCAAAAGACAGCATTAAGATAATGAAAAGACAATCCACAGACTGGGGTATTAGCTATAAGTATATACATTATATGTTTCTATAATATATTCTGGATACAAGTCTTTTGTCAGATTATATACATATAATGGAGAGGATGTGAGGCAACTGGAATGAACTCTTAACTCTCTTAGTTTGGCAGCTGAGTGTGAACTATTACAACTACACTGGGCAACTATTTGGTAGGATCTACCAATGCTGAACATATGTATACTCTATGACTTTGCAATTGCACTGCCACCTGCTCAACAGAAATGTTCACATATGTACACCAAGTGAGAGGTATAACAATGTTCTTAATGGCCCCAAACAAACAACCCAAATGTCCAACAACAGTAAAATGGATAAAGAAATCATGGCACATCCATTCAACAGATTACACAGCAATGAAAAAGAATGAGCTACTGCCACACACAACCACACAGATGAATCTAACAGACATAATGTGAAGAGAAAGAAGCCACACACAAAAGAACACATGCTGAATGTATGACTTCCTTTATATTAAGTTTAGAAACAGACAAAACTCATTTACAGAAGCCAGAAAGCAGTCACCTTTGGAAGGGAGATTAAGGACTAGGAGGGGCATGATGGAGACTGGTGGGGTATGGTAATGTACTGTAAATTGATATGTGTGGTTCAACAGGTGCGTTCACTCTATTTGTTCACTTTATTATGTACATATTTTAATTTAAAAAGTTTACAAGAAGAAAAAACAAACATTGATTCTGATCAGCAAAAACAAAAACTTGTGAGAATACTGGAATATATATAATAAATCAAAAAGAAAAATTTGTATACCCCAAAAGAATAAAAGTCATGAACGAATACCCAGAGAAAACCATAATTCAAAAAGACACATGCACCCCAATGTTCATTGCAGCACTATTTACAATAGCCAGGTCATGGAAGCCACCTAAGTGCCCCTCGACAGATGAATGGATAAAGAAGATGTGGTGCATATATACAATGGAATATTACTCAGCCCTAAAAAGGAATGAAATTGGGTCATTTGTTGAGACGTGGATGGATCTAGACTCTGCCATACAGAGTGAAGTAAGTCAGAAAGAGAAAAACAAATATCGTGTATTAACACATATATGTGGAACCCAGAAAAATGGTACAGATGAACTGGTTTGCAGGGCAGAAAGAGAGACACAGATGTAGAGAACAAACGTATGGACACCGAGGAGGAGGAGTGGTGGGGGGGTTGGTGGTGCGGTGAATTGGGTGATTGGGATTGACATGTATACACTGATGTGTATAAAATGGATGACTAAGAACCTGCTGTATAAAAAAATAAATAAAATTAAATTTAAAAATTCAAAAAAAAGGAAAAAGAAAAAACACAAATGGCCAATAAACATAAGGAAATATAATTTTAAACCATTATGAGATTTTTTTTTTCTTTTAAATCAATCTGGCCATGACTTAAAAGCAGATGATACTCAATGTTAATATGGGAAACAAGAACTGGTCATAGAACTAAGAAGCATCAACCCTAAGAGTCAGAAAGATCTATCTTTGCAACTTTAGGTAAGGCACTTAACCTCTCTCAGGTTCAGTTCTTAAACCTATAAAATACCATATAATTTTTATATATTTATAATATACAAAATATTTTAAAAGATATAAAATACATATAATTTTAAAATACATAAATATATAACCTACAATGTTATCTTGAAGGGCTATTAGGAGAACTGAATGAAATTATACACACAAATGCACATACATAAACAGCTTCTTTTCCTCCCTCGCACAGGGAGACTGGCCATTAAAATAGTTTCAAGTAGATTTTGGACAAGTTACAGCCTTACCGGCTGCAAACTCCTCGATGGTCATCAGCGGGAACCGGATCAAGGACAGTGCTTTCCCTAGAACTTTCTGTTTGTTTCCAAAAGTCACAGGCAATTGTTGTCTTTGACATTCCGCTTCTGCCCACCGTACAACAGCTCCAAAAAGTCGACTTTCTCTAATACTAAGAGTGTCTCTTTCTAGAACTGCACAGAGTGTGTCTACAGGTAAAATACAAAAATATATCAAATCAGTAATATTTTGCTCTTTAACAAAATACTAACATGCTTATATAAAATTTTCAAATCTCAATAAAAATACGATACTTAAAACCACAGAGTCTACACTTAAAAATATTAAAGAATTAAAGGAATTAAACAGCAAAGTTTTCTTTAAAATATTACTATAAGGTTAACACTCAACTTATTACTTACCATACATGGAAGCTTAGATACAGTATCTCCTTATATATTCATGCCATTCAGCAAGCAAACTCAAATATTCAGAACAAGAATAGTAAGTCAGAGAAGAAGGCTCCCCATCAGTAATGAACAAATTCATAAAGTCTACAGATTACAATTCATTCATTTATTCAGCAAATATTTCTTATTAACCACTCACAATGCGCCAGGCACTATTCTAGACACCGAGGATACATCATTAAACAAAAGGTTAAAAATTCCTTGCCATCATGGAGCTTACATTCTAATGGGGGAAACAGATTCAATAAACATAAGTAAATTATACTGTGTTACATAATAAATGTAGGAAAAGATAGCAGGGTAAGGGGAATCAGAAATGCAGCTTAAAATAGGATAGTTTGGATAGGCCTCACTTGAGTTAAGACCTTAAGGTCGTCGAGGGGGGTGGGGTCAGTAGGCCAAACACACCTCAAGAGAAAGAGCTCTCCAGGACTGGCCAGTGCGAAGGCTCACTTACAAGAGTGTGCCTGGCATATCTGAGGAACAGCCAGGAGGTCAGTGTGGCTGGAGTGAGCAAGAGGGAAAATTAGTAGGTGACGAGGCCAGAAACATGGTGCGAAGCAGGGTGCAATCATGCAGCATGCTGTAGATCAGTTGGCTTTTACTCTGAGTGAAAAAGGGAACCCCTGGAGGGTTTTGAGCTGTGACATTTTTTTTTTTATTTTAACATCTTTATTGGAGTATAATTGCTTTACAATGGTATGTTAGTTTCAGCTTCACAACAAAATGAATCAGTTATATATATACATATGTTCCCATATCTCTTCCCACTTGCGTCTCCCCTCCCTATCCCACCCCTCCAGGCGGTCACAAAGCACCGAGCTGATCTCCCTGTGCTATGTGGCTGCTTCCCACTAGCTATCTACCCTACATTTGGTACTGTATATATGTCCATGCCTCTCTCTCGCTTTGTCACAGTTTACCCTTCCCCCTCCCCATATCCTCAAGTCCATTCTCTAGTAAGTCTGTGTCTTTATTCCTGTTTCACCCCTAGGTTCTTCATGACATTTTTTTCCTTAAATTCCATATATATGTGTTAGCATACGGTATTTGTCTCTCTCTTTCTGACTTACTTCACTCTGTATGACAGACTCTAGGTCTATCCACCTCATTACAAATAGCTCAATTTCGTTTCTTTTTATGGCTGAGTAATATTCCATTGTATATATGTGCCACATCTTCTTTATCCATTCATCCGACGATGGACACTTAGGTTGTTTCCATCTCCGGGCTATTGTAAATAGAGCTGCAATGAACATTTTGGTACATGACTCTTTCTGAATTCTGGTTTCCTCAGGGTATATACCTAGTAGTGGGATTGCTGGGTCATATGGTAGTTCTATTTGTAGTTTTTTAAGGAACCTCCATACTGTTCTCCATAGTGGCTGAACCAATTCACATTCCCACCAGCAGTGCAAGAGTGTTCCCTTTTCTCCACACCCTCTCCAGCATTTATTGTTTCTAGATTTTTTGATGATGGCCATTCTGACTGGTGTGAGATGATATCTCATTGTAGTTTTGATTTGCATTTCTCTAATGATTAATGATGTTGAGCATTCTTTCATGTGTTTGTTGGCAGTCTGTATATCTTCTTTGGAGAAATGTCTATTTAGGTCTTCTGCCCATTTTTGGATTGGGTTGTTTATTTTTTTGTTATTGAGCTGCATGAGCTGCCTGTAAATTTTAGAGATTAATCCTTTGTCAGTTGATTCATTTGCAAATATTTTCTCCCATTCTGAGGGCTGTCTTTTGGTCTTGTTTATGGTTTCCTTTGCTGTGCAAAAGCTTTGAAGTTTCATTAGGTCCCATTTGTTTATTTTTGTTTTTATCTCCATTACTCTAGGAGATGGGTCAAGAAGGATCTTGCTGTGATTTATGTCATAGAGTGTTCTGCCTATGTTTTCCTCTAAGAGTTTGATAGTTTCTGGCCTTACATTTAGGTCTTTAATCCATTTTGAGCTTATTTTTGTGTATGGTGTTAGGGAGTGATCTAATCTCATACTTTTACATGTACCTGTCCAATTTTCCCAGCACCACTTATTGAAGAGGCTGTCCTTTCTCCACTGTATATTCCTGCCACCTTTATCAAAGATAAGGTGACCATATGTGCATGGGTTTATCTCTGGGCTTTCTATCCTATTCCATTGATCTATCTTTCTGTTTTTGTGCCAGTACCATACTGTCTTGATTACTGTAGCTTTGTAGTATAGTCTGAAGTCAGGCAGCCTGATTCCTCCAGCTCCATTTTTTGTTCTCAAGATTGCTTTGGCTATTCGGGGTCTTTTGTGTTTCCATACAAATTGTGAAATTTTTTGTTCTAGTTCTGTGAAAAATGCCAGTGGTAGTTTGATAGGGATTGCATTGAATCTATAGATTGCTTTGGGTAGTAGAGTCATTTTCACAATGTTGATTCTTCCAATCCAAGAACATGGTATATCTCTCCATCTGTTTGTATCATCTTTAATTTCTTTCATCAGTGTCTTATAATTTTCTGCATACAGGTCTTTTGTCTCCTTAGGTAGGTTTATTCCTAGATATTTTATTCTTTTTGTTGCAATGGTAAATGGGAGTGTTTTCTTGATTTCACTTTCAGACTTTCCATCCTTAGTGTATAGGAATGCCAGAGATTTCTGTGCATTAATTTTGTATCCTGCAACTTTACCCAATTCATTGATTAGCTCTAGTAGTTTTCTGGTAGCATCTTTAGGATTCCCTATGTATAGTATCATGTCATCTGCAAACAGTGACAGCTTTACTTCTTCTTTTCCGATTTGGATTCCTTTTATTTCCTTTTCTTCTCTGATAGCCATGGCTAGGACTTCCAAAACTATGTTGAGCTGTGACATTTTATGTTCTAAAACGACCACCCTGGCAGCTGTGATGAGAAGAGACAGTAATGGAGGCAAGAGTGGAAACAAGATCAATTAGGAGGCTCTTGCGCTGATCCAGGTCAGAGGTGATGGTGGCCTGGACCAGGCGGAAGTGGTGAAAAATGATCAGATTCAGGGTATACTCTGAAAGGAGACTGGAGATTTCCTAACAGGTTGGATATAGGGGGTGATAGAGAGCATGAGTAAAGGATAATTCCCGGGTGTATAGTCTAAGCAATGGAGGGATGACAGTGGCATCAACTGAGATGAGAAAGACTACTACGTGGAAGCAGGGTGGGGGGTGGTGAGAGGGGAGATCTGAAGCTTAATTTTGGACATATTAAGTTTGAAAGCCCTATCTGACATCCAAGTATAAATGTCATGACCATAACTCAGGCCCTCACTCAGAATCCTTTTCCCTCTAATCATAGGCAAAATTAAAATAGGCTGTTATTTTTAAACTACAGTAGACCAGAAATCAATGAAAACATTAAAATATAATTAAATTGCCCAGAAACACACACCTAAGAAAAATGTATTAAAAACAAAATTCTACTATGCAATGGTCTACACATTCATACCAGAACCAAATATTTGTTTAATAACAAACATAGGTATCATTACAGCAAAGATATCACAGTCCCCAGAACACAGAAGGGGCCCAACAACATGTTAAAAATGAAGAGTTTAAACATAATTTTTTTAAAAATCAAGCTTTTTCCTTCTCTTGTAGCTGAGCAGATGAGTATAAACTAAGGTCCCAGGAAACCTTTTCAAAGATAAATGAATGAAAGTCAACATACCTCAATACTTGTAGGATTAGGAATATACCATGACCATAATATTTAATCATTCAATAGAAAAACAGACAACTTTGAACCTCCATTTCTCTACCTTGTATGCTAAAAACTTCAGTAAAGGTAAACATAGAAACTTAAAGACTAAAAAACAAGCACATTATACTGCCCCTGGCATAATGTAAATTAATTCTGTTCTATCAATGTGACATATTATCTTTTTCCTTCGGCAAAAACCTACAAGAGAGAAACAGTATCTGTCTACTTGGAAAAAGGTAAGCATATCCCTCTGGAGCACATATTCAAATGCCAGAGGAGAAAAAGCATCCCCAGAACCTAAAATAGCTATTTAAAAAAAGCTCCTGAAGCCAGGTCTTTCTTTCAGATCCTAGAATTCTCTTTCATTCCCAATTTTTAACAAGTACATTTGTGACAAACTAGACTATGAGGTGAAAACACATAGGTCCTCTATTGATAGATGTGTTATAATAAGAAATGACAGCTGAGAGCCTAATAAAGATCATAAAAACACACAGGATTATATTTCTAAACATCATACAATACTGGGTTTTAATACAAACCACTGCAAATCAAATCAAATCAAATCAACGAATATTTATAGGGTTTTCATCCCGTGCAAGGTACCTACTTCAAGATTCCCAGGGAGATACATTCGGTAGATTACTTTCTGCCCGTGGACGCCGCTGAGTAAGGATCGTTGATGTCTCCCCACCCTCCACTGCTGTCAGGTCTAAGTCAGAGTCACCCAAAGAGCCCGAACAGCTGCGGAAGCTCTTCATTGGAGGTTTGAGCTTTGAAACAACCGATGAGAGCCTGAGGAGCCATTGTGAGCAGAAGGGAGCGCTCACAGACTGTGTGGTAATGAGGGATCCAAGAACCAAGCGCTCCAGGGGCTTCGGGTTTGTCACGTATGCCACTGTGGAGGAGGGTGGATGCAGCCATGAATGCAAGGCCACACAAGGTGGATGGAAGAGTTGTGGAACCAAAGAGGGCCGTCTCAAGAGAAGATTCTCAAAGACCTGGTGCCCACTTAACCAGATGAAAAAGATTTTTGTTGGTGGCATTAAAGAAGACACTGAAGAACATCATCTAAGAGATTATTTTGAACAGTATGGGAAAATTGAAGTGATTGAAATCATGACTGATCAAGGCAGTGGCAAAAAGAGATTCTTTGCTTTCGTAACCTTTGATGACCATGACTCTGTAGACAAGACTGTCATTCAGAAATACCACAATGTGAATGGCCACAACTGTGAAGTAAGGAAAGCCCTAACTAAGCAAGAGATGGCTAGTGCCTCATCCAGCCAAAGAAGTCGAAGTGGTTCTGGAAACTTTGGTGGTGGTTGTGGAGGGGGTTTTGGTGGGAATGACAGCTTTGGTCATGGAGGAAACTTCAGTGGTCGAGCTGGCTTTGGTGGCAGCCGTGGTGGTGGTGGCTATGGTGGCAGTGGGGATGGCTATAATGGATTTAGTAATGATGGAAGCCATTTTGGAGGTGGTGGAAGCTACAATGATTTTGGCAGTTACAACCATCAATCTTCAAATTTTGGACCCATGAAAGGAGGAAACTTTGGAGGCAGAAGTTCTGGCCCCAATGGTGGTGGAGGCCAATACTTTGCCAAACCCTGAAACCAAGGTGGCTATGGTGGCTCCAGCAGCAGCAGTAGCTATGGCAGTGGCAGAAGGTTTTGATTACTGCCAGGAAACAAAGCTTAGCAGGAGAGGAGAGCCAGAGAAGTGACAGGGAAGCTACAGGTTACAACAGATTTGTGAACTCAGCCAAGCACAGTGGTGGTAGGGCCTAGCTGCTACAAAGAAGACATGTTTTAGACAATACTCATGTGTATGGGCAAAAAAACTCGAGGACTGTATTTGTGACTAATTGTATAACAGGTTATTTTAGTTTCTGTTCTACGGAAAGTGTAAAGCATTCCAACAAAGGGTTTTAATGTAGATTTTTTTTTTTTTTGCACCCATGCCGCTGATTGCTAAATCTAATAGTCTGATTATGACGCTGAATAAATGTGTCTTTTTTTTAAATGTGCTGTGTAAAGTTAGTCTACCCTGAAGCCATTTTGGTAAACCATGCCAACAGTGTGAAGTTAGTATTCCTTCAGGGTGATGCCAGGTTCCATTCAAAATTTATTTACAACCTGTGCTGGTGGAGAAGCTATTGTCTTCCGCAACCTTGGTGTAGTTGAACTGACAGTTATTGCGTGTTGTGACCTGGAGTTCACCGTGAAAAGGGTCACCCAAGCAAAGTCATGGAGTTTTTTGGTTATTAATATGTGATTGTTGGCACATCCTATGCAATATATCTAAATTGGATTATGATACCAGATATAGATGGGAATGAAGCTTGTGTATCATCCATTATCATGTGTAATAAATAAACAATTTAATGCCCTCAAAAAAAAGAAAGATTCCCACAATCCAATGGCATGCCTAATGGAGGAGCTATTTACAAAACAACTTCTCGGAGTGAGTCACCCAGATGCAGGCAGTATTATTTCAAATGACAGTAGACTGAAGTGGAGCACTTGATAGCTCCTTAAAGGGAAGGACACTAGGATTAAGCAATGTTTCATTACCAACGTGGGCAGTGCTTAGGGCTCTCAAACATCCAGTAACTCAACAAAAATTCAATAGCACACAACGTGCAGGTGCTGGGTGGGGGAACCAAATCTAGTCCCTGCCCTTCAGGATAATGCAAGAAGAGCACAAATCCTTCCCAAGGTAATGTGCAGCAGACAGGCAAACTAAGAAAGGGATGTTATCGAAACAGGAATATATTAAATTTCATGGAAGAGGGGAGGGCAGCAGTTCTTAAGAAAGTTATAATTTGAGCCACGACATTAAGACTGAGTGAGAACTAGCCAAGGTGGGAAGGAAAGGCAACATTCTAGACACAGCCAGTCAGCCCAGTTGGTCAACAAATATTAACTGAACACATACTATGTTCTACTACTTTCAGTGCTGGAGATACAGTGGTAAACAAGACAAAATCTCTGCCTTTAAGGAGTGTACAATCTAGAAGGAGGAGGTAGACAATCAATATATACATATTCAGACAAAGACCAAGATAAGATTTTCAGAGAGTGATACATATTATGAGAAAAATAAATCAGAGTAACAGAACAGGGGCTGTTTAGGGGAATGTGGTACTTTACGTAGGCGTGAGATGGCCCGTCTCAGGTCTTGTTTAACCTGAGATCTGAATGATTAAAAGGAGGTAGCCATACAAAGATTCACGGGGAAAAGGATTCCAATCAGAAGGAATAGAAAATACAAAGGCTCAAAAAATCAAAAACACTGAAATAACTGTGGCCAGTGGATATGGAACATAGTGAATGAGAAGCAGAATGGTAGGAGACGAGGTCAGATACAGAAGAGGCAGGTAGTTACTGCCAGCTCTTTACAAAAATTCTGTTTTCTCTTCTTCCTGGGATGTGAGTAGTCTGCATCTCCTAGCCTCCCCTTAAGTTAGGTGGCATCTGGTGACTGAATTCTGTCCAATGAAATAAGAGGCAAAATGAGGGTGCCATTTCAAGGTCAAAGCTTTTAAGATGTGGGTATTTTCCTTGCCCAGGCATTTTCCCATCTGCTAGCAAGATACAGATAATAAGCAGGCTGTAGGAAATGGCAGAGCCACAAGATGGAAGACAGCCACTCACTGGCCGGGAACACTGCCTTGGACTGCTGCGTGAGTGTCAAAAAAACTTCTATTGTGTTGGAGCAGTGTGCATTTTGGGGGTTTATTTGTGCAAATGTGTTCAGCTTGCATTTTGGGGTCTATTTGTTACCACAGCCAAGCCTAGCTTACCCTGACTAATATAAGGCTTGATCACATAGGATCTTGTAAGTTTTGTAAGGAGTTAGAATTTTATTCTAACTGCAGTGGGAAGACACTAGAAGCAAGGATGTGATACAATCTGCTGCTGTGTAGAGAATGGACAGTATGAGAGCAAGGGTGAGTGGAAGCAGGGAGACAACAGGAGACCACAGAGGTTATCCAGGTGAGAGAACAGTGGCTTCGACTAGGTGGGAGCAATGGATATGGTAAGAAATGGTCAGATTCAGGATACCTTTGTTTTTTTTTTTTTTTGGCTGTGCTGCGCTGCGCTGCTTGCAGGATCTTAGTTCCCCGACCAGGGATTGAACCTGGGCCCCGGCAGTGAAAGCACCGAGTCCTAACAACTGGACTGCCAGGGAATTCCCCCAGGATACATTTTGAGTGGAGAGCAGAGAGCATGTGCTGATAAACTGCATGTGGGGTATGAAAGAAAGAGAGTAATCAAGAATAACTTCTAGGTTTTTAGTTGTACATGGTGGTGCCATTAGGGAAGAATGAGGAGAAAATTGGAAAGGAACAAAAAGATTTAACAGGGAGTTGGGGGAAATCAATGGCTCTCTTTTAGCTGTGTTGTTGGAAATGCCTATAAAATCTCCAAATGAAGATGTCAAGTAAATAGTTGGGTATATAAATTTGGAGACCAGAAGAAGATAAGATTAAAGATAGATATTATGGGTTCATGACGGTGATAATATTTTAAGTCATAAGCCTGGATCAGCTCTCTCTGCTCTCCTACATGACAAAATTCAAACTCCTCAGCCTGTCACTGCACTGTCCTCCGCAAGCTGGCTTTCACCTGCCTTGCACCGCCCTTCCTCTACACACAATTCTTCGTGCAGTTCCACTTGCCTCTAATGCCCTCCCCTCTTCATCAACCAAATGTTTTCCATTCTCTAAGGCCCATGTCAGAACCTTCTGGGTCAAGATTTTCCTAACACTCCAATGTGAGGTGCTCTCTTCATGTTCTGGATTTGCATAGTAATTATTTTCTATGTATCTAGTTCAGAAAAGGCGAAAGTCACATTTTGCTGTATGTCATCTCTTCTATTTAATGTCTTAAATCTTAATTTTCACATATCTGTTCCCTGATTCTCCAATTAGATGACAGTTTCCTTAAGAAAATGCACATCTTACCCTTCTTTGTATTTCTTATAGGACCCTAGTATAATGCCGTGCATATGGTGAACATTCAATGAATATTTGTTTGATCTGACATCTTTTAAAAGGCAATGAGGTAGTTAAGACTTTTAGGAATACTTCAGCAAAATAAAGAAAGCAAAACTCTTAAAGAGGTAGACTTAAATCACTTGGAAAACCCACTAATTTAAAAACAGCTTGTCTGCCAACAAGGCTGACTCGTAAGGCATTACTGTACTTAAAAGGTAACATTTTAATTCACAGTGAACTTACCTATATCAATATCAGTAAACCCTTCTGCACTTATTGCATCCATCGTGCTTTTGTCTATTGTGTCTAGACAAAGACTAGCAAGCTGAGGTTCATCAAATAATCGAGCCTAAACACATAAAAAGCTAGTTATTTTATTTTCATAGTTATTTTACCTTCAGGCTGTACATATTCCAAGCTAATACTGTAAACAATTATAATTGCTAATTATATAAAAACACATACTTAAAATACAATTATAATGTCTATATGTGCTTAAAACTTTTCGTTCCACCATCAGAAATAACAGCTAAAAGCACAAATGCCCTGCTAACAATTAATTCATATTACCACTAACAACCCTGTTATTTTTATTTTCATATGCCTATGTATGCATTGCCTTGTTTCTTATACATCACTTATGTTATCCTTAATGAAACACTCTAGGTTAGCTAAGGCAGACATTATCCCATTATCCAGATGAGGAAACAGAGGCTCAGAGAGGTATACTGACTTGCCTAGTACCATCTAGCTAGTTATGCTCCAAAGCCAGTACTTAAGTCCAAGTCTTAAGATCTTTTCACTAAATGGTAATATCAATTGTCAAGCATACCAGTACCAACAGATCAGATTTTTTTTCCATTTCCTATTCTGATTGGGGGAAGAGAATAAAGTACAAGAATTTTACAGCATGAAAGTTCTGGGAACCTAAGCAAACACTAGGCCTGACAACAGAGGAGCAAATAAGTAAATTCACGTGATGGAATATTACACAATAAATGAACGATCTACAACTACACACAATATGAAGGAATCCCACAAACTTAATGGTAAGCAAAAGAAGATACTGTATATATTGAGCAAAAGAGTATACAGCTGACCCTTGAACAACTTGGCGGTTAGGGGCACTGACCCTCTGTGCAGTCAAAATCCACATATAACTTATAGTTGGTCCCTTGTATCCGAGGTTCCTCCGTATCCTTGGATTCAATCAACCACTAATCATGTAGTGCTATAGTATTTACTATTGAAAAAATTACACATATAAGTGGGCCCACAAAGTTCAAACCCATGCTGTTCAAGGATCAACTGTATACTGTATGATTTTAGCAAAGCTAATCTAGGCTTTAAGAAGTCAGAAGTCAAACTTCTGACTTCTGATAAAGCACAAATATGTGCTTTATCAGGATGCATATTATAATTCAAAAAAACAAGTTTAAAAATGGGGGTGTTCAAACTCAATTGAAATTTTTAAAAAACTGTAACACTGAAAACGGAGATATGATGATAGGTGTGCCAATGACCAATTTTCCTTCTGGCCTAGGGTCAGCTCTGTTTACATTTAACAGCATGGACAAAACAGAAGTCTACTGTCTGTATTTCAGTTTTTTCAATTGGCCCAGTAATGCTTTTTATAACATTGTTCCTTCTAGCATGGGATCCAGTCTAGGATCATAGTTTTTGTATTTTTAAAATATGAAAAATAGTACATTTTTAAAATTCTAATTTCAGCAGATATTTTAACTGGCCAACTCAGTTTTTATAGGTGAGTTAGTGTTCACGCAAAAATTGATATTTTACTCTAGGAAAAACAATTTTTGGTAAAAATTATTTAATTCAGAGTAGCAATATTTCAGTCACTCAGATACAGTATCAAGTTTCCTTTAGAATCTACTGCTGCTACTTAAGAGTAAAATAAATTTTCTCTAAATTTAGTCTGAGTCTGGCATCACCTGATAAAATAGCACTATTTTTAATGATTGTATCACTTCACAGAGAGTGTTTTTCCCTCTGTAATCTATGCTGGTACAGTATACTGGCTCTTTGTTTTAGAGGGAAGCTAGCACAGGTCCTCTCAAGTAAATGAACATGCTCAGTTCAAATGACTCACTTGGCAGGAACAAGACATTCACATGACAATTTGTGGGCTAATTCACATGACCCCACCATGAAAACTTCAGAGTAATGTTGAGTTCTAAGACCAATGAGACACTGAAAAGTTTCTTCTTCTCAGTGACATCTGTTAACCCTTGCTACTCAAAGTGTAGTCCAGAAGCACCAGCAACATCTGAAAGTCTGTTAGAAATGCAGACTCTCAGGCCCCACCTTGGCCTCCTGAACTAGAAAGCGTTTTGTTTTTGTTTTTTGTTTTGTTTTGGTTTGGGTTTTTTTTGCAGTACGCAGGCCTCTCACTGCTGTGGCCTCTCCTGTTGCAGAGCACAGGCTCCGGACGCACAGGCTCAGCGGCCATGGCTCACGGGCCCAGCCGCTCCGCAGCATGTGGGATCTTCCCGGACCGGGGCACGAACCCGTGTCCCCTGCATCGGCAGGCGGACTCTCAACCACTGCGCCACCAGGGAAGCCCTAGAAAGCGTATTTTAATTGTCAAAGTTTAATTTACTGGTTTCTAAATTTTTTTTTTTCTTTTGGCCATACCGCGCAGCATACGGGATCTTAGTTCCCCAACCAGGTATGAACCCACGCCCCCTGGATTGGAAGCGCAGAGTCTTAACCATTGGACCGCCAGGGAAGTCCTATTGGTTTCTAAATTTCATGACTGAATTTAAAAAAGAAGAGTAGTTAAGTGACCCTCTCTACACACAACAAAATTCTTTAGACAATAAAGAATCTTATGACTATCAACTTCTTTATTGGATTTTCATCACAAATTCAAAAGAGGAAAAAAATGCAAGGAGACATCACTTACTAGTTATATAATCTTGGTCAAGTTATTTCACCTCCCTGTGCTTCAATTTCCTTGTCTATAAAATGAGGATGATAAGAAAATCTTCACCTAGAATAGCTACATCTCCTTAAGTTATTGTGAAGATAAAATGAATTAATGCATGCCAAGTATTCAGAATGGTACCTGGCACACAATACTCACTCAATACATTTTGCTATTATTATCATCGATATCACCGTATCTTACTGGTTTAACGTTGAGACCTTACTTTTACCACTTGCTGTCTCATGTTATATAACATATTTACCTCTTTACGCTTCCATTTCTTCATCTTTGAAATGGGGATAATAATAATAAACAACAGCACAGCTGTAATGAGGAGTAAATGTGATAATATATACAAAGGGACTAGCTCAGTGTCTGGAATACAATATATACAGACATGGAGTTCTGTGATGATGTCTAAGAAGAGGTGACATCAGCATGTTCTTTCTTCTATAACTATAAATACTTAATGGCCAAAGATTAAAAAAAAAATGCCATCAGTCATTTCTGGTATGACAAAATGGATGTAGAACTGGGAAACTTGAGCTCTGGGCTCTGGCCCCACCTAGCCTGTTGTGAGGCTTTGGGCAGGTAGTTAACTAGCCAGGTTTTAGATTTTTCATTTGGAAAATGAGATGGTTAAGCTAAGGAACAGCCATGATTATTTCCATTACTAATATTCAGTAGGATTATATATTATCAGCTTAGACTCCCCCCACCTCATTTTAACTTGCTTAACTCTGTAAAGACCCTATCTCCCCAAAAGGTCTTATTCTGAGGTACTGGGGATTAAAATTTCAACACATGAATTCTGGGGAACACAATTCAACCTCTAGCACAGGGTTATATAGACTAGTTTAGGATTTTGAAAACAAATTTGTAAAAGGGTATCATAACATTGTCTAAAAAGAACAACAACAATTTATTTATATCTCAAGTATGGAGCTCAGATTACAGGCATTTAACAGATGCTAAATAGTATAAGTTAAAGACTGGTTAATGGTTCCATAGATGTGTTCAGTTTGTAAACATTCATCAGACTGTACACTTATGATATGTGTACTTTTCTGCATGTATAGTATACTCAGTGAAAACTTTTTTAAATGTCAAAGTAGGGATATTCTTACATTCTAACTCCTCCAGAAGTGGGTCAGCAAGCTTAAAGACAGAAGACAGTAAATCTTACAACTTTTCTGGACTTGAAATATTCAATCTTAATTTCAGACCCAACGCAAATCAAGAACAAAGATGTCCAGAAAGCTTCATGCTATCATACTCTCAATCATAGCAGGAACAATGCTGGATACTAACCTCAACTCCAATCCTAAACAGTTATATAACTTGGAGTCATAATGCCCTATTTATATAAGGCTTCAGTTTCTTTACCTATTATATATTAACTCTAATTTGCTTTTCTATTCTAAAATTATATGACTCTGATGTATTTCCCTGAATTATACCAGAAGATTTCATATGCTTTAAAATAATAATCTAGGACTAATTTTCCAGGAACAGTAAATATTCATATATAGTTGTACCCATTTTTTAAAGCTAAATGATACATTCCTTAGCTACATTTACTTACCTGAGTAAGTAACATAAAGGCATTATCTGCCCTCAGATGTTTGGTGAGAAATTCCACACAATGTGCTTCCAAGGCTGGGACTGCATATTTCTTAGCAGTATAAAGAGTGGTCATAACTGTTTCTGGGCCAATTTGAACTTCATCTGAATACAGAAATCTGGGAAACAAGTGGAAATTGCAGAGATGGTCAGTAGGGTTTTAGATAAGCAATCCATCAGTGTTAAACCTCTGAGGAATATTTTAAAAGATAATGAGCAAAGTGAAAAATAACTTGAAAAGCACATCAAACTTTCCAGGGCTACAAGGGCATGTGCACACACATCACCTCATTTTATTCTGACTCAATCCTGAGAGGTAGGCAGTGTCCATTTATAGAGGAGACTAAAGTTAAGTGGAGATCATGGGATCTTCATGTCTCCAAGTTAAATTTTTAGAGGTCTTTTAGCACCTACAGCAGCTTAGGATGAGTGGTTCATTTATCTCTCCTTCATCAAAGGATGTTCATGTAAGCAAATCTACAGATGGCTTAAGTTCACATCTCTAAATGTCAAACATCCATTTATTTCCTGATAATGGTGTCTTCTTATTCCGGGCATCTTTTAACCTTTCTTTGTTATCCCAGAATTAGCATTATGACCAAAGACTAGAGTATTGGGGCTTTGGAGGAATAAAACAGTTTAATAGTATATTAAATGACCCCATATTGCTATGTGCTTTTGAGTATTTAGATCCAAATTTCTTTCAAAATACTATCAAACCAATACCTCCTCCCCCACCCCGGTTGGCTGCTTCTAACTGCTAGGTCACTAGATAAATCAGATTCCTAGAAGTGCAGATAAAGCATAAGATTCTCAGAGAAGGCCTGGGCAGTTCATGCTGAACTATATTGAAGCTTCTGCATATCCACTTCAGGGCTCCTTTGTGGTTCCTCAGAGATCTTTGTGCTTACTGCCCAGTTCTCAGCTACACTCAGGATAGCTGAGGGTGCTGGAGAAATAAGGCATTAAGAACAAGTACCTCATTTTAGCAATACTAAAGACTTAGAAAGAACACTTATTACACTTATATTCCCAGGACCCAAGTCGTAAAATAAGTGTTTAAGAGAACCCATTAGGGGGCTTCCCTGCTGGCGCAGTGGTTAAGAATCCACCTGCCAATGCAGGGGACACAGGTTCAAGCCCTGGTCTAGGAGATTCCCACATGCCACATAGCAACTAAGCCCATGCGCCACAACTACTGAGCCTGTGCTCTAGAACCCACGAGCCACAACTACTGAAGCCCGCGAGCCTAGAGCCTGTGCTCTGCAACAAGACAAGCCACTGCAATGAGAAGCCTGTACACCGCAACGAAGAGTAGCCCCTGCTCGCCGCAACTAGAAAAAGCCTGCACGCAGCAAGGAAGACCCAATGCAGCCAAAAATAAATAAATTTATTTAAAAAAAAAAGAAAACCCATTAACATCTTTCAGAACACTCTGTACAGTAAAGTGAGTGAGGAAAGGAAGTTCTATTTCATGTCCCTATCCACTGCTTTTCAATTTCTTCTTTTATTCTGGTGGGCAGACTCACCACCCAAGATGAAATTCTAGCCTGTTGCATCCCCCAACATCCCACCCTAACCAAATGCTGGCATTCCTCTAATAATATCATTATCCTTACAACTACCTCCAGTGGAGCCTGTGCTTTCTCATACTTCCCTATGTCTCAGGTTCAAAAGTGAAGGTTGCTGGTTTTCAAGATTACACTGTTTTCAAACATTTTTTCAAAAACCTTTCAAGTAAGCCATCTGTATCACCCTCATAATACTCATTTAACATCAGGTGCCACTTGGTGATGAGTACAGGGAATGAAAAAACCACTTAGTCCCTTATAGTCAGGGGTAGGGGAATGAATAAAAAGGAGAGATAATGAACATTTGTTACGTCGCTACCATCTGACAGATGCCAATTCATTTAATCCTCCCACAAGGAAGGTAGGTGCTGCCACCTGCATTTTAAAGATGGGGAAACAGAGGCTGGGGAAATGCAAGAGCTGTCTACCATAACACGCCATTTCTGGGCTTCTGGCTGCTCTCAGTGCTAGACTATCAGGCCCATCAGGTGAGGGCTGTTTTAATTTGCCTGGACTCAGGGAGAGATGGCTTGGGTTTGAGCCTATTCCATCACCTGACAGCTATGTGACCTTAAACAAGTTATCATTGTGTTCCTCTCTGAAAAGAGATGTGGATAACAGTATCTACTTCATAATGCTCTGGTAAGGATTAATATCAGTTAAAATACACAAAGTGTTTTGAATAATGCCTGACAAATACTTAGCCTCAATAAATGTTAGCTGTTTATTTTTATATTGCTTCATTTCTATTTTCCTCTGCATTTCAGAAGGTTTCCTTGCCAGACTTCTAGCCCTTCTATTTTTCTCCCCAGCAATCACATGTTTAAATTTCTAAGAATTCTTGCTTCTTTCTTGAGTGTTCCTTTTTTTTTTTTTTACTCCACAGCACTATGTCTCCTTTTTATGGATGCAAAAATGTTCTCAAGTCTCCAAGTTTTAAAAGTTCCTTTCTGTTCCCTGAATTACCTATTTCCTTGAGGATCAGCTGTTATTGAGGATCAGCTGTTCTTGGTCTTTTTCATATTCTGATTTTCCTTGTATGTCAAAAGATTAATGATTATCCCCAGTTGAATATCCTGGTAGCTGGTATGTTTTCTTTGCTGCTGTGTAAGTATAGGAGTGCTTTCCAGCTAAAACCTTCTCCAAAATGGAAAGGGTGGCTGGGAGCTGTGCATGTGGGAGGCTTGCTGACTGGCACCTTGCATTAGAGTGGGAAAGCAGCCTTTAGGTTAGAGACCAACCCCCACCACCACCCATGCCATTACCCTGGAGTCCCTAAACCAAATCAGCACCCTAGTTCTCCCCAGGTGGTTTGTCTAGTTTATTTAAAGAGGAGCCTGTCAGATGTCGCCAGGAGTTAGCATACAAGAGGGGGTTTGAGGGGATGGCCTATAAACAGGCTTTAAATTAATGCCCATATTTTAACCCTACCTTCTCATTTTCACCCTCTTCACTACCAACTCTCCACCTAGAGCCGTGCTGGGGCTCAGCCAGGAAAGGCAGCTCCCACCACCACTGTAGCTCCTCATGCTCTGGATTCTGGGCTCCAGACTTGGCCACTCCATTTCATCATCAACACACTTCCAACTGCTTTGTTCCTTTTCTACATTGGCTTCCAATCTCTCTCTTTTTTTTGTCTTCACTGTAATGGATTTATTTTCTTTTGTATTTCTTTACAGTCAGTTTAACTGGGGCAGAGAGAAGGCTAACATCATGCTCAGTTCCCTTCCTAAACTAGAAAGCTAGGAAGTTTTTGTTTTAAGGGCAAGATAGGAAGAAGTCTTTACATCTGTGTTAATCTTTTTTCAAGCAAAAATTACTAGAGTTATAAAATATAGAGCTGAAATGTGGGGCCTTTATTACCATTTGTTTGAGTAGATTCAAACTTAAGGAAACCAGCTCCACAAAGTTGAAGTACATGGTTCTTTAAGAATCTGTAAGTGGGGTCCCTGACAGGGAGACCTGGAAAAGCTTCCTACAAGAATTTCTACCTGAGAACTAAAAGATGAAAAGAGGGCAGGAAGAACATTCCAGGAACCAAAGAATTGTGTTTTCAGACTATTCTATATGGTCCAAAACCCCATTCAAATTGCTTTTATGAAATTATACCTCAGTAATATACCTTTGGCTCGAATATATTTAAGAAACATTTACATCTAAAGACATAGATTGAGGATACTACTGATGTCAGTAATGCCTTCATTTATTTTTGGGGGGGCTGCATTGGGTCTTCGTTGCTGCGCGCAGGCTTTTCTCTAGTTGCATCGAGTGGGGGCTACTCTTTGTTGTGGTGCGGTGGCATCTCATTGCAGAGCGTGGGATCTAGGGCGCACGGGCTCAGTAGTTGTTGCTCGTGGGCTCCAGAGCGCAGGCTCAGTAGTTGTGGCGCACGGGCTTAGTTGCTCCACGGCATGCGGCATCTTCCTGTGCCAGGGCTCGATCCCATGTCCCCTGCATTGGCAGGCAGATTCTTAACCACTGCACCACCAGGGAAGTCCCAGTAATGCCTTCTTTATGAGGGGACTGCATCAGGAATTTTTTTTTTAACTGATATTATTGTCAGACAGAGTTGTGCATCTCCTAAGCAGTTGGCTTGTTTTTAATCTACAAACACTATGAATTGTAACTGACTAGCCAGGTTTCTCTTTTTGTAATAGTTACTAAAATTATCAAAATTAAGTTTGTAGAGTACCTATAGCATGCATTTTTGTATTGGCTTCATCTTGGCTCTGTTTTATTTCTTATCCTTGTGTTTCTTGTATGACATTTTAAATTCTTTTTGGAGCAATGCAAGTTATAAATAAATACTAGACTATAAACAATAAGAAAGGGAACTCTGTGTTTCTTATATTTTTCCCCATATCTTTTCCTACAGCATCGGACACAGTGTGGGCACCTGGCTAAGCCTTAATGAATACATGTTAGCTGACTAGACAATTCAGTACAGGTTTCTAGCTATCATTGATAGGGAAACCATTTTCATTTCTAATAAGAAAAAAGGCTACTTGAAAATCCTAGAATCATCTTGATTCATATTTTATCAATACATACATGTTTTTTCTACATTCTATTTAATTACTAAAACTGCTACAATAAACAAACTATGTAAGCCAGTGTTTACAAAATATAATTAAAAATTAAACATATTAGCACAATACTTTGTATTTTAAAGTGAACATTTCAGCCCTGATACACTACCTCTAAGGACAAGAGCACAGAGAAATAATTACAGGTCATCAAACTATTTCTGATTTCTCCCCAAAGATGAATGGCTTTCCAAAAGATAAAACTTAGGTTACATTTAATCTAATTTAAAAATTAAAAGACTAAGGTAAAAATTTCATTTTAAATTAGAAAAATCACAAGATCATGTACAAGAAACTGTGTATCACTACTGATTCTTTCATTTTACTCAAAAACATTTATTGAGGGACTATATAATAACAAGACACTGAGACACAAATATGAGAGATAGCTCTGCCCATAAAAAGCTTATGGTATGGTAATAAAATGATTAAAAAGTAATATCATAATTATAACAGAATTAT